CACAAAACCATAAAGAATTTAGAAAGAAATAGAAAATTGGAAGGAAGATAATTTACGGGATCTAGTTACTTTGGCACTTTAAATGATGATATGGAAGAAGGTGATAGACATACAAAAGGATTACTGGAGCAATCAGATCAAGATTTAACAAATATATTTCAATACCATTATCACAATTTAAATCAACCCATATTAAAGATATAGCAGTAGAATTTATGAGCAATAAAGAAGTTCCACCAAATTATGACGTAATATTCAAAACTTATCAAGATAAAATATTCTTATAGTATCCTCGTTTGTCAAAGATTACTCATTAATAATGATAAATACTATTATTAACAACACCCTTGATTCTGAACTATTACTATGTTTTGAACTTTTAATCCAAGTGAACTTCCTGATAATGCTGATAATGAAAGAGATTTAATATAGATACTAAATTGGTTGGTGAATGAATTTGTAAAAGGAAACTCATGGAACTCTAAAATTTTATCTGCAATCCTATAATATATTTTATTAAAACACATTTGGATACGAATGAAAAATTTTCACTCCTTATACCTTTTTTTTAAAAAGAATATCTTTGCAAACAAATTTGTTTAAAAAATAGGTATTTAGATCAACAAAATCCACGCATCTAAATTTGTACGCGATGAACTTCATAATTGAAAAGAGCATAAAAAGGTAATAGCAGCGAGATAGTAACTTAATTAGATGCAAGTTACATGTAAAGAAAAGGTTCTAATTAGGTGAAAATAAGGCAAACAAATTTCATAATGTTCAATTTACAGAACTGCAGTATATGTACGCAAAACAATAATTTTATTATTTTCAAGTGTAAAGATTAAAACAAGCAAGATTCCTTTTTTTTTAATACTTACCTCTTCATTTCCAAGATTATATTCAAAAAAATATTATTATGTATGTGTAAATTTTAATATACAAGATATCTCAATGGCAATGTTTTATAACAGACAAAGAGAAATACTCTTTTTGCAGTAATTAAGGAAAAAATCAAAAAGAAGGAGGATGGAACAAAAAGTAATGTTAATGAAATCTGCATGTATATTAATCGAGCCAAACCTATCCCCATAAATTTTCAATTTTCACATCTAATATCAGAACCTCCCTTGTCGTAAAAAACAAAACAAAATAAATCGAAACCTTTATATTATCGATAAAAATCGAAGGAAATAATAAAATAAAAATTTCACTTTTTTGAATATAACTTTTTTTTTTTTAAGGTAAATTAATATAATATTTTATCGCAAACTACACTTAACAATTACATTTTGTTTCCTGTTGACTTAATCTAAATTTATTTTAAAATTAATCGATTTTATCGAAAAACGTCAGTGTTTCTGAAACTTGAATTATCTTTCAAAGCGTCATTGTGTGTTTTGTATTCCATGATCGTATCAGAAGGCAAATTTAAAACCCGTTTCATAGTATCTCTGCATAATCAATATTATGATTAATATTATTACTATTGTTATTAATTTATTTAATATACTTTTTGATAAAAAAATTAAACTGACCTTATTTTTAAATTAATTCTGCCTTCGTGTGCTGATTGATTCCACAAGGACAAAATATCTTCAGAACTACGTATAGACAGTACAGCACCACATATTTCTGAGCCAACATCAAATTGGTCTCCAATAACCGCCATCACCTAAACAGATAAAGAGAGTTGCATATATATATGTGTGTGTGCATATGTTAGAATACATATTTGATGTTACTAAGTAAAATGTTGTTTACCTAATTTTTTTTGTTTCAAATATATATTTTTTTAATTAAAATTTTTTTCTCCTATATTTAATGATAAATAATTATTTTTATATATATATATTTTTTGTTTTTTATTTTTTATTTTATTTGTTTACTTATTTGCTTGATTTATATATTTATATATATATATATATATTTGAAAAAAAATATTTATAATAAAAACTCACCAAACTCTCCCAATAACGACTAGCCAGACCCTTCTTTAACCTCACAATCCATTTGCCACCATTAATATTAGTATCATCCTAATATTAAAAATATTATTTTATAATGATTAATATTTAAATTTTAAAATTATTAATTAATTAGTTTTTATAAAAACTATAAAATAAGATTCGTACCTCCCAAACTGGTCTAACGCCTTGCTTGAAAAGATGGTAGTCACTAATATTAGGTAACTCGTGAGGCTTTCGAAGATGACTATAAACTGCCCAAAAATCCTCTATCTGATATTTTTGATCAAAAAAAAAGTTTTTTTTTTATTATATGGCGCACATAGATCCAATTGAGTGTTTACTCGTTTTTTTAAACAATTAATTAATTGCTTGCTTGCTCTTTGGAAAGAATAATAATTAATTGTGAAAATTACATACTGAAGAAAAAGCTGCTATTTTCTTCATAGAACTTTCATAATTTAGTATTTTACTTCCCGGTGTTCGATGCATAAACCAAAAAACCCATGTAAAGTGTAGCGGGTGAATTTCATTGGTAGGACTAGGTATATACTGCTGACGCGTTAAACCAATTAATCCATTACCACCATTTCCATTTTCTTTTTCTTTGTTGTCTTTATCCTCTAAGTTTCCAATTCCTATAACATTTGAACGATTTTTAGAAAGATACCCACTCCCACCGCCACTACTAACACCGCCTGTGCCCATTACAAGTGGTGTAGTTGGTTTGATGATAACAGTAGAAGCGGCAATGCTACTCGTCATACCATTCGGAGAGTTAGTACGTTGAAGTTGAATTAGTTTTGTAGATGTTGAAGTTGTTGTTGTAGGCGTTGTTGTTGTTGTTGTTGTTGTTGAAGTTGTAGTTGTAGTTGCTGAATTGGAATGACTATGATCTGTGTTAACAGTTAAATTTTTACTAAAAAATATTGTTTTATTTGTGAAAATTTATTTATAGTTGATCAACCTTTTTTAAATAAAAGTAATTTTAAATCTATAATAAAGGAATGGTCCTAATAAATTACCGTGTTTTCCAGACGTTTTCCATTAACTATTTAGAGTATTATTTATTAGTATTTATATAATTAATTCTATTTTATACAGTTAAATTATAAAAAATTTTAAATAAATTTTATTTTTTATTTTGAAAGAATTTTAAATGTAATTTTTTTTTATTAAAAAAAAATGAGCAACAATAATTTGGTAATCTTTATCTTGTATGTGCTTTTTTTTTGTTTTTTGGGGGCAATTATTTTATATGCGGGGTTCCGAAAAAAAATGACGTTACACGTAAGACATTTGAAGGAGGATTTTTTCATCCGGGTTAACAGTAAATATAGGTTAATATATTAAAAACATTTTATTTAATTTGAAGGATGAATTGTTTCAAATTGTGATTTATCTGGCTCATTCTTTACCAGTTTTATTTAAGATTGAACAAATTTTCTCCTTGATCATTGCTTTTGAAGTATGTCCATGTCCAACTATGTTTTTGTCTATAGATGCTGGTCGCAATTCTTGGTGATGGTTGCAACCACCTTTGCGACCACTTTGGTTTCCTTTTTTGGATTGCGACATGGAACACTATTCTTAACACACTGTAGATACTAAATGATGAATATTCTTACACCTGATGATGTTAATGAGAAGGGAAATATTCAGATGGAACATTAACATGACATGAAAAAAGAAAAACAACTGATACCTGCATTGTAATGTGGAATAGTAATAGTAAAATCGAGATCAACATGGAAGTATTAACTTTTATTTATTTTATTTGTTTATTTATCGTCATCAGATTTACTATTTATCGATCACTTGATTGAGCATTAACTCATTATTATATAATCTGTATGTTACAAACTTTTGGATACTTGGTAAGAAATTCATTGATAGAAGAGAAAGATGATGACGATATTCCTTTAACTGGAAACTAGAACAGGTACGTAAGAAAATTTCATTAAAACGAAATTACTAATATTATTCACCTCAACAAATCTATGTTGTGCGTGAAAAATGAAATTTATGTAGTTGAGCATACACATGCGGATTTTTTACCGATCAATATGTGTAATATGAAAATACAAACTCTACGATCCCCTCCACATTTGTCAATTTAAAATTGGCATATAAGTATTTTATAACATTTATTTTTATTAATCTTTGATATTCAAAATCAACTTTAAACAAGAATAAAAAAAAATTTTTTAATTTTTAAAAAAATATAAAGAGGTTAAGTGAAAGAGTAAATATTTTCATAACTGTAGGAGGAAAATTGGAAGACTAGATAGATTTGGAAAATTTCGTATATAAGTATAGAAGAATCATCACATTCTATAGTATATACAATATATATAAACTTTTAAAACTAAAACAATTTCTAATATAATTGATTTTGCAGTAGAACACTGTTAAACGATTATTCCATGACTACAGAGTTTCTATTCGAATAATGTTTATTCAGATTATCTGTTTTATTCGCTATTCGAATTGCATTGAATGTTTACTCAATAAAACGAATAATCGAATAAATCGAATAAAACCAATAAATTTCAAACCCCAATTTTTCTATATAATAATAATAACTATTTTATCTCGCTTAGCGGATTTAACGGATTATATTCGGTTTACCGGATTCATGTCACTTATTATTATAATAAATAAATTTTTCTCAGAATTATGTACCTTGTCTTTTTTGGCTCTAATTTTATGATAAATGGCGCGTAATAATAACACAATGTTTTGATATTATGTTAATTATAAAGACAAATAAACAGAATCATTACTATTATTAAATTAATATTGTGAGATTGTATATGGGTTAAAAAATCGAGTGCTCGTTCATGATGATGCTATTATAATTCTAATACTATATATACAACAAAAAGATTTAAAAGTTGATTCTCAAATGATTAAAAATGTATTGAAGTTAAAAAGAGAAATTTCTTATAAAAGTACCCAAGGAGCAAAACAATGTCGAGTTGACGAATTTATGAGTCAACAACGATATTAATATCATCGCTATTTTTTTCTGTGCGTATTTAATATATATCACGTGATTTGATCATAAGTTTCGCTTTTGAAGATCTCTCAGTTTAACGGATAAAATTTTCTGGAAAGAAATATCCGTTAAACCGAAACTCGCTGTATAAAACTCGTAAAAATTAATAAAACTAATAAACTAATAAACTAATAAATTAATAAAATTAATAATAATAAAATTAATAAAATGAGCAAAACGAATAAAAATGAATAAACGAATTATTTGTTAATATTAAATTGATCTGCCCAATATTAATATAAAAAATCTTCATATGATCTCGGCGTCACACGATTTTTTTATATTAATATTAAAAAATGAACGAATTGGAAGAGAGAGAGAGAATTGAAAATATTTTATGGTCGACCTTTATCATGTGATAATAATAAGAAAAAAACCGAGAACGCAAAATGGTAGTGGGCTTTTGCTTTTTTACATATTACGCAATCATGTATATGAACAAATTGTTAATTATCATTTCTTATCTTAATTATCTATAAACTTTTTATTACTGACGCTATGGCGCAGAAAGTTTTAGAGACTAAGTGTCTTGCACTATACTAATACTGAATAGTTGCAGAATGAATACGTGTTTTTGATATGGCATGGCAGGGAAACAAATAAATATTGTAATACAAAATGTAATTGTCGGGGAAACGTCTTGTCGGGGAAACGTCCCGTCGGGGAAACGTCCCGTCGAGGAAACGGTGTCGGGGAAACGTCCTGTCGGAGAAACGGTTGTCGGGGAAACGTCTAGGTACCCCTTGATTTAATGGATACTAATGTATTGAGGTTTAATAATAATAAATAAACTCTATATATAATAATAATAACAATAAAATTCTTCTTAATATAATGAATTTCTTGATACAGTCAAACCTTGTCAGAGCAAGATGAATGGGACACATAAGAAAATTTTATTTAAAATCCGTTATTAATAATCAGGACCCGCAAACTATATAGATAGGTTACTGCTGCAGCTGGGTCAAATCCTCTATATAGTAAGACCTAAAAATTTAGAAAATGGAAATACCAAATTTGGAAAGATTGTCTCCAATAAGCCAATCACAGTGTGGGTCAAACCCTATATCAAATCGTGATTTTTGTAACCTATCTATATTAGTTTGCGGGGCCCTATATAAGCACATTTTATTTTAAAATGTATATAGTAATAATATCAATTTAAAAATCTGGTTTGATTCGAGTAAAATAGAATCTAGATTTTTGAATTCGACTCGATTCGATTCGTTCGGAAGATTCTCAATTTTTTTTTTCCAAATGAATGATAACTATACATATAATATTGTTTCTTGTTAATTTTGGCCAGAATTATCTTAGACTTACCTGAACGCATAAATGGAAAAATTTGTGGAAAAAGCATAATCTGTTTTGAAAGGCAGTTAAATTTATTAAAACGGGCTTTTATGATTCAATATATAAATAAAACAAATGCCAGCCCTTAGCTAAAACTGTTTTTTATTAAAGTTTCCAATTTCTTTCTTGAATGCATACTTAGAAACGTTATCATATGGTCTATAAATTTTGGAAATTAGTCTCTTCAAAATAATTAATCATCGTTCTAAAATTACCATTAATTGAAAAATCATGCCACAAGTTAAATTAACCATTGTGATCGCTAGTACTAAGGCAATCGTTACTGTGGGAATGAATATGTGGAAAGGCATAAATGGAATGCAACTCTTACTATATGGCACTAGCGTAAAAATAAAAATCCAGGCGTCCACATCACCATTGAACACACAAGGAAAGTTGCTTGTCAGAAAAATATGTTGATGCCAAATCTCATTCACTCTGGAATATAAATAGGGTCACAAATGAAGTGTAAATCTTACTAAAGTAAAAGATAATAAGTAAGACGTGATGCCCACAATGCGTATTTCCAAAATCAATAAGCGAACTATCTACAGTAAAGAAGATCTCAAAGCCCCAGAACATCCTCTCCCGGGTTGGAACTATTACTCTAAACTCAAGCTTGCATTCACAGAATAAAGCTATTTTCCAAATACGCGTTTTTGAAAGGGATGTAGAATTGAATGAAAATGAATCTTCTGTTTTAGCCAAATTATTTATTCATTTATTTCTTTGGGATTTTATTTAACGTATTGAGAATGAATTAAAAGTTTCACGAGCAAATTTTATATTATTGTTATAAAAATTCATATATAAATAAAAGAAATTTCAAATGTCCTTAAAAAATTTTTGAGTTAGAAACTATGATGGAAAATAATGGTAAAATTCTTCTTTTAGATTTTTTTTTTAAAAAAAAGGCAACCACATTTATTTAAATACACGTTATTGTATATAGCCTCGTCGCTTTATTCATTAAAGACTGAGTATAATGCAGACTCTATAGAATTTTGTCCATTTCAAACACACTCAGAATTTTTAACATGTGGAACTTATCAATTAGTTCGTAATGAAGAAGTAAAAGATGAAATTCCAAGTAAAAACAAAAGAATAGGAAGTTTACTATTATATAAAGTAATTGATGATAATAAATCTATTAAATTGTAAGTTTTTTTTTTTGTGAAAAGAAAATAAAAAAATATTTGATTAAAAACATCTCTTTTTGGGGGGAGAAAGACAAGAAATACAAAGGATTGAAATGAACGCTATACCTGATATGAAATGGTTAGATTTTTTGATTGATTGATTAAATTTTTTTTACATTATAAATTGATTAATATAAATATTATAATAAAAGGTCACATCAGTTATTATCTGATAAATATATTTTGTCTGTAGCAGATGCAAATGGGATGATTTCTTTATATGAATTTGATAAGGTATTATTTATTATTGATGTCATTATCCCTTGATACCAAGTTAAATATTTGTTGATTTTTTGTTGATTTTTTAATAGAATAGATTAAGCCCAATAACGAAATTTATGGCCAATAATGACGAAAAATTGTGTCTTTCTCTTGAATGGTCAAATAGAATTAATTTAAGGTTTTTGATCTAAATATGATGAAATGAGGCAAATCATGTGTTCTTTATTATTTGTTTTGTTAATTTATATTAATCATCATCTCGAAAAACTTTACAGTTCATCGTCACCATCTTCATCCTCTTCTTCAATCGTAGTTTCTCAAAGTGATGGAAGCGTTATTGTCATGTCTGTTGATCAACAAATTGGAATTTGTGAAAAGAATAGATGGATTGCACACGAATTTGAAGCATGGATTGCAACTTTTAATTATTGGAATCCAAATATTGTTTATACTGGTAAACTTTTATAATGACTAATATTACTATGGAGTTAATGTTAATGATTATTAACTTCTTTTTCATTTCTGCCTTGTTGTTATTATTATTATTATCATTTTATTCTCATTAGGTGGAGACGATTGTAAATTAAAAGGTTGGGATATAAGAATGGATTTATCAACATCAATATTTTCCAATACAAAGTAATAATTAATTTTTTTTATCCAACAATAAAAATAAGTTAATGATTTATTATTTATTTTATTAAAATATAGACACGAGGAAGGCGTTTGTAGTATTCAATCTAATCCTCATACGGAAAATTATTTTATTTCCGGAAGGTAAAGATATTTATATTTTATTTAATTTTATAAAAAAAAATAATATAACCTCTCAATTGCCTTTTTAAAATAAAGTTACGATGAAAATGTTTTACTTTGGGACACAAGATCACTAAAAAGCCCCGTAAATACCTATAATATTAATGGTGGTGTTTGGAGATTAAAATGGCATCCATTCAATAAAGATTTATTTGTTGCTGCTTGTATGTATAATGGATTTCATGTAATCAAAACGAGCGACGAATTAAAAGGTTAGTCTAGTCGGTTAATTAGTTAATCAGTTATTCAACTAGTCATAGTAATAATAAAGCAGAAAAAAGATAAAACCTTTGAATTGCTGCTACCAAAAAAAAATTTTTTTATATAGGCAAAAACGACAATGATGATGTTGTAATAACGATGATGAAATCTTCAAGTTTTATGAAGCATCAATCGATTGCTTATGGTGTTGACTGGTCGTATTCAAGAAACCTGAATCATAACAAATCGTTATTAGCAAGTTGTTCATTTTATGATAATCTTGTACATCTTTGGTAATTATCATTAATGTATTATTTAATTTCACCCAAGTTGATTTTAGTTAAATAACCTGTGGTTTTTTTAATAAATAGGGAAATAAATCATTAAACAAAATTATCAAATAGCGAATCAATATATATATTGTATGTCGATGGTTTAACCAATGATGGGCTGTATGTTTGGCTGGGTTTTTTGGGGTACAGACAGACGGTCAGTGTGAAGGTGAAGCACTGTTGTTATTTGGTAGAACCTCGGATAATA